AGATAAGAATGTTTTCGCTGTACATTTTGTATGAAATGTAAACTACACTGAACTTAAAGTCCGCATTAAGTGTACACAATTATTTTACGCGCGTACGCATTGTTATAACTATCAAGTTTCTAATCGCTTATAATTAATACTTAACTTAACGCTGCTGCTCACCATTCGTGCACCTTTACACGGACTTTTTTACCATACTTGGCCTTTGAGTTTTATTATAAATTGCTTTACTTCTGTACACGCGTTGTGAGGCTCTTTCAAATCTTAATAATCTGTCAGTATCTGCTTAATCAGTAATGAGATCAAAAACTTTGTTTCATCAGCTTGATTAGTGATAAGATCAACAATTTTTATTTGATAACTTCTGTAGTAAAGGATGAACATTATGTTATTATTGAATTAGTAAAGTAACTTTTAAAGTCAGGTGATTTATTTAAATCATGCATTTTAGTCTTTTGTCAATTGTATTTAAATTTATTAATTTATAAAATTAATCTGTAATTTTTAAATTAAAAGACGACTCAAGAAGACGTTGCTCATTTCAAAGGTCAAGAGGTCAAACTCTTGATAAAGTTAGTGTTTAAAACACTTGCATCTCACACGGTCAACTCAATGTTACATCGTTTAATACCTTATTTAAAAGAAGTTATAAAAATCCGTATAAAAAACCAGATTGTTTGATAGTTTGTTTTTGAAAGTTGTTAAACATTTATTACGAGGTATTTCAAAAAACAAAAATAAGGTTGTATTTGTAAAGTTTCAAATTTATATATTTTTCTTAATTTATATATTTATCTATATATGTGTGTTATTTATATTGTGTTTTATTGTGTATATATGTGTTAAGGTTATATGGGTTTATATTTTGTAAGTGTGTAAATATATGAAATGTTTCAATGTTTGTGGTGTGTTATATGTAATATGTTTATAGTTTGTAAGTGATAATTATGTTGTTTGCATGGTTTCAAATTGTTGTGACTGGGCTTAGTTTACAGCAAGATTGTTGACCTCGCTAGCCAAGTGGTGTACTTTGCTATAATGTGACCTGGCTTTGTTGAGAGCAAAAATATTGTCCTCGCCAGCAGAGTGGTGGATTGTCATAATAAAACAAATAAATTAATTCTGTTTGTAATTAGTGTATTTCTAAAATGTGTTGAAAAAATATTGTTTAAAAAATGTGTTTTAATGTTGTTATCCTCTGTTCTTAACAATGTATGCTTTTGACAATAAATAAATTTTGTTAAAAAGCAGGCTTTACTAACAGCTCCTCCTCATTAAAATTTTTAAGAGTTTCGATTTTCTTCATTAAATATGTTTAACTCAAATTTTTTTTATATATATAAAAGTAAGTATACAGCGTGTTGAAGCATAAGTTTTAATAACTTTTGTTAAATTTTTAGGATTTTTTGTATAGAGAATGTTTTCTTTATATTATTATTTTAATGTTTTGTATGTACATCAATATATATATATATATATATATATATATATATATATATATATATATATATATATATATGTATATATATATATATATATATATATATATATATATATATATATATATATATATATATATATATATATATATATATATATATATATATATAGACACACACACACACAATAAAATATATAGAATTAAAATGTCTATACATATATTATATGTATAGACATTTTAATTTTTTTGCCTTAAATTATTGTCCCTTTTTCTTTAGAATATTAAATATCTAAAAAAAAAATAAAATAGTAAAAGAAGTTTCAATATTTCCAAGTTTCTTCACTTGAAGCAAATATATGATTGTTTATAGAGGTTCTTTTAGTAGTTTTGTATTTATTTATTGCAAATCTTGCGTTAAATGCCTTTCAAAGTAATGAAAGGGTTTTGTTGATGGATGATTACATTTTATCCTTCCATGCTAGCAGTACCTGCTGAGTTGACAGGCCTTAAATTTTTTTAATTTGCTTTATTTATGAGTTCTTATATGTAAAAAATTTGTTTTTTAAATTACATTTGTTTTTTTTGTTTTTTTTGATTAAATACTTATAATATTTTGTCAATAATTGATAACAACTACCATAAATATATAAACAATACTTAGTTGAAAATATTACATTAATTTATAACTTTAGTTTAAGTTTTTAATAAAACTATGTTATCTTAACACAATGCTATATATGGTAGAATATAATAGATTATAGTATTATGCTCTGTATTATTTGCTTACACTTTATTTTAGATAAGTTTAAAAAAGAAACTTCAACTTTTATTATATTAGGCATCATTTTTACACACTCCTTTGATGCCTACTTATGTCTAATAATTTAAGAAATGAAATTATTAGACTTCGTCAAAATGAAAGAAGGCAGGCTAGGCGAGCTGAGATAAACCGCCGTCGAAATGAAAGAGATGAGCCCAGGCGAGCTGAGATAAATCGTCGTCGAATGGAAAGAGATGAGCCCCGGCAAGCTGAGATAAATCGTCGTCGAATTGAAAGAGATGAGCCCCGGCAAGCTGAAATAAATTGTAATCAAAATGATGTGCATATGATAAGCATGTTCTCAATTAGGTCTGTTACAAGACGACGCTGAATGGAGAAATACATTAACTGAGGCTGCTGCAACTCGGTTGCCAAATCAAATTAGACAGTTGTTTTCCATTATTTTGACTTTCTGTGAACCTGATGATCCATTAAATCTTTGGAATGCCTTTAAAGATTTTATGATGGAGGATTACATTCACCATTCCATGCCACCAATAATTGCTGAGCAGGCAGCTTTGCGTCAAATTGAATCTATAATTAATCAGAATGGTAAGACTTTAGCTGATGTTAATCTTCCTACTTTAGATGAGTTTTTAGATTATGTCCCACAAAATGAAGAGGAAGATGTTCAGGTTTTAATTGATGAAGCAAATAGGGTTAGACCATTGTTAAATGATAATCAGCGTCAAATTGCTGATGCTATCCTTTCTGCTCTTAGTGAGCAACCTAACAATGAAAACAAGCAGTCTAGATTGTTTTTTATAGATGGCCCTGCAGGTTGTGGTAAAACATTTACATACAATTATTTAATCGCTGAAACCAGCAGTAGACATATTATAACTGCAACAGCTGCATGGACAGGAATAGCTGCAACTCTTTTAAAAAAAGGATGTACACTTCATGGTTTGTTCAAACTTCCTGTGCCGATTTTGGAAAATAGCACATGCAATGTAACTCCAAATTCTATACACGGAAAATTCTTGAGGCAAGTTAGCCTTTATTTACTAGATGAGGCATCCATGATACCTAAACATGCTTTAAATGCCATTGATAAGTTACTTCAAGACGTTTGCAATAACAGGTTTCCTTTCGGTGGTAAAGTTATTCTTATGGGTGGGGATTTTAGGCAAATACTTCCGGTTGTAAAGAGAGGGCAACCAGCTGATATTGTTGAAGCCTGTATAAAATGTTCTCAACATTGGCAATATGTTCAGCGATTTTCATTAACAGAAAATATGAGGGTTCAGGCCGAAGAAGAGGAATTCTCTCAATGGCTTTTAAAACTTGGTAGTGGAACATTACCTTTAAAAGCAGATGGTTCCTTTCGCGGGTGCATTGAGATTCCTGAGCAATTGAATCTTTAGTAGACAAGATTTTTGGAGTTGCAGAAGAAGATGATTATGCTAAACGTGCCATTTTGACACCCAATAATGTTGATTCTTTAGCAATAAATGAAGAAGTTTTGGACCGTTTACCAGGTGACGTTAAGGTTTATTTAAGTGCTGATACTATTGAAACAGATGATCTTAACAAAATCAATAATTTTCCTGTTGAGTTTTTAAACAGTCTTACTCCATCAGGAATGCCTGTTCATTGCCTAAAGCTAAAAATTGGTGCTGTTATAATGTTACTTCGAAATTTAGATCTAAAAGCTGGACTTTGCAATGGTACCCGATTGATAGTGCGTGCTCTACAAAATAATTACATTGATGGGCAAGTTCTAACAGGTGTTTCAGTTGGCAAGAGGGTATTTGTCCCTCGAGTTCAGTTAACACAATCTGATTCAAATTTACCTTTTACTCTTAAGCGTCGTCAATTTCCTGTAAGATTAGCATACTCAATGACCATAAATAAAAGTCAAGGTCAAACTTTTGACAAAGTTGGTATTTATCTCAAAAACCCTTGCTTTTCACATTGTCAACTCTATGTTGCATGTTCAAGAACAAGATCGTTTAATACCTTATTTTTTAAAATTGATGAGCATTCATTACAAGGTATGTCATTTAACAAATGCTACACAAACAATGTTGTATTTACCAATGTACTAAATCTATAAATAATTAATTTTTTACAATTAAACTCCTCATTTTTTATAAATATTTTAACTGTAATTTAAAGTATTTTTGTGTGTTGCTTGATGCAGTAATGTGTGATATTTATTATGTGTTTAAATATGTGTTAAGGTTATATTTTGTAAGTGTTTATGTGTAACTAATGTGTAAATGACTGTTATATGTGAAGTGTATTTTTTATGTTATCTGTTTATAGTTTGTGAGTTGTTATTATGTTGTTTTCATGGTTTCAAAGTGGTGTGACTTGGCTTTGTTTATGGCAAGAGTGTTGTCCTTGCTAGCCAAGCGGTGTACTTTGAATAATGTGACTTGGCTTTGTTTATGGCAAGAGTGTTGTCCTTGCTAGCCAAGTGATGTACAGACATGAAACACATAATAAAATCTGTTTGTAATCACAAAATGTGTACTTATAAGTATGTTATATTTTTATGTTTTATGCAAATAGATTTAGCTCACATTCATGTTGGTCTGTCAGGGTTATGTAAAAATAAAAAAGTAAGTTTCTTATTCGCATTTTTGAGTTTTCAAAAGTATTGATTGCATGACATGTTAATTTGTAATTAATGTGTATGATTATGATTATGTGTTTAAATAACTTTGTTCCATTTTTAGTTCCGTTTCTTATAGCTGACTTGATTATGGCTTACCTAAAGCTTAATATTTATGAAACAATGATTCAATTTAAATTGTATTATAAGTAGCTCTGTTGAATAAATTTTTTTTTTGTAATTTGTACTAAAGGTTATATTTTTATTTTATATCAAGAAAAATATGTTTTTAAGTAAATATCTATATTTTTTTATTTTGGGATTTATTGGTTTAAATGGATATAAAAATCATTTTTGCTTTGTCTTTCATATTTCCTTTTATTATATATGAATAGGAACCATTTATGCTTTAATCACCATTAGCACTCGAAGTTTCCATTTGCATTAAGTATCGATTTTTGGCACACACAACAGGTTTAATAACTTAGGCAGTAAAAACAGCTTGAATGATTTGTTAAGAGTCTTTAAAGAAACGCTTTTACGAAAAGCATTAAATAGATAAAGCTAACTTATTTAAAATAATAAGTCTTTAACCCGTTTTTCTATATCCAAATTTACTTTTTAAATAAATGTTGATGAAAGGGTAAAATATCGTTATAGCCTACGTTAATTTTAAATTCTTTTTAAATTAAAGGAAAGAGTTTTGATACTTATTTAAATAGGGTTAATAAAATATTTTAAATTATATTATATATATTATATTTAAGAAATTATTAAACTAAATTAAATAAGATTTTTAGATGAAACAGTAAAAATAATTGTTTAAAATACGTGCGTGCAAATAATTCCTACAAATACTAAACGTAAAATAACGCTTACAAACACCAAAAGTATGTTTGCAGTGAATAAAGTTAAGTTCAAAGATAAATAGGAAGAAATGTTTAAAACTGTTTCAATGATAACATTTATTTTTAATTACTTTTGTTGTAAGTTGGAATGAAAAAAAAAAGTCACTGGAGTATGAACTCCCGGGGTAAGATGACTATAAATGTCTAAGTGTTGCGCGTCTACCAATTAGCCCATAAACGTATTTTCTATTTAAATTTAAGATTATTTATGACGCATAAGAAGTGTAATTAAAAATTCAAAACCAAGTTTGCAACAACTGAGTTTAAATAAAATCTAATTAGATGTGTATATGTTATGAACGTTAACTAAGGCGTACTTTAACGGCGTCACGTGTTGAATGTTTTAGCATTTTTCTAAGTTCGTAGTTTTTTTTACGTTTTTTCTTATTAAAATTTTTATAATCGGCATAATATTAAAATCGTTTGAAGTTTTTAAAAGAACATTTTAACAGAAATGTTTTTGTCATATCAAAAAGTAAGTATAGTTTTTTATATGTACATTTTTAAACGGTTTTAAAAAAATATTGAGGTAAGGAATAAGTATAGAAAAGGTCGGTGTAGAATAGATTTACTAAGACCCTTAGTTTACGTCCGGATAGCTATAGATAAGTATAAAAATGGTCGGTTCGGTAAAGACCCGTATTTTACGGGTCACCCCAGCTAGTAATAATAATAATAATAGTAATGAAGTTAACAACAATAGTAACAACAATAATAATATTAACAAATATCACATTCATATATTAAACAATTCCAATAAGTAATAATGGCGGTAATAAAAATGCAAATAAAATGTAAGTAATATTAACATCACATATAATAATAATACTAATAACAATAGTAATAATAATCTATTTTAAGCCTAAGATTTTAATTTGCGTATTTTTCTATCAAAAAGTCAAAAAGACGGGTTTTAAATTGTGAAAAAGTGTTGAGGGATTGAAAATGAAAAGGTAAATTATTCCATGATTTTACGCATTGGTTTGTAATAGAATTATCACCGTATTTTACCGAACAGCGATTTGGGATAGATAATTTAAAGTTACTCAAAGATCGAAGGTAATAACGAGAACTTTTTTTAGTGGTAAAAAAATTGGAGAATGACGGAGGGAGGTTTACTTGTTTATGATTCCAGACAAATAGACAATTTAATAGATAAACAAGATCACATAATTTGAGTATTTTTGATAGAAAGTAAAGGATGTCAGAGTTAGAATGATACTGTTGAAAGAATATTATTTTTAAAGCTTTGTTTTGTAGGTTACATAACCTTAAAAAAGCATTAGACTTGCATTGTCCCCAAACCTGACAAGCGTATCTAAGATGAGATCCAAAAATTGCATGGTATATATTAAGTAGTGTTTCATAATTGACATAGTGGCGAATTTTGGCTAGCATCCCATTTGATCTACACAATTTTACTGCTAAGTTTTTAAGATGAGAGGAAAAGGATAGATCTGAGTCAATTTGGATTCCAAGATATTTTAATGAAAGTAAGGGAAAAATTTTTTGTCCACTTAGTCTAAAGTTTAGGTTTTTACACATTTTAGATTGATTAGATTTGAAAATAATGAGTTCAGTTTTGTTGGTATTAAGACTTAGTTTGTTAGAGCGCAGCCATTGAAGAAGGTTAGATAAATCATGGTTAATATGTTTGTTAATTTTTTTTAATGATTTGTTAGTTATGAGTAAGTTGGTGTCGTCAGCAAAATGGTAAGCCGTTGAAAATTTTAGAGAGATATTAAGATCATTTATAAAAATAAGGAAAAGCAGTGGTCATAATACAGAACCTTGGGGTACACCAGTGGAGCATTTTATTGGAAAAGATTTGGCATCATTAATGGAGACAAATTGCGATCTATTAAAAAGATATGATGAAAACCATTGGAGAGTGTTACCTCGAACACCGTAGTGTTCCAATTTTTTTAAGAGGATGGAGTGATCAACAGAATCAAAGGCTTTCTCTAAGTCAAGAAACACTCCACATGCAAAAAGCTTATTGTCAAGAGCATTTCTAATAGTTTCAGTTATTTTAATAAGTGCATGAGTCGTGGAGTGTTTGTTACGAAACCCATACTGATGTTTGTAAAGACATTGGTTTTTGTCAAGAAAGCTATAAAGTCTGTTGTACATGGCTTTTTCAAATATTTTACTAATGTTAGATAGAAGAGAAATCGGTCGATAGTTTCTGTGATCCATTAGAGAACCCTTTTTATGGATAGGAATAACTTTGGCTATCTTAAAAACATCTGGAAAAAGACCTTTATTAAAAGAATTATTTAATATGGTACAGAGAGGCTTGCAAATAACATGAGAAGTAAGTTTAAGAAGGTGTGTGGGGATACTATTTGGTCCAAAACTTTTACCATTTTGTAAACTATTTTTTATTAAATTAGATACCTCGTTTTCAGTCACTGGATTAAGAAAGAAAGAATTCGAATTAGCATTTTTTAAATAGTCAGAGAAGATACTTTTAGAAGAAATCATTTTACTTTTGGGTGGGTGTTGTATTGTTTCATAGTATTTGTTAAAAATGTTAGCAACAGCCATACTGTCAGAGATAGTGTAACCGTTAGACTTAAGAGTGTAAGATTTAATTGGTGTAGAGGGTTTGATATTAATAATTTCTTTTATTCCTTTCCATGTATTTTTTATATTGTTGAAGTTTTTGTTAAAGAAGGAGATGTAGTATGACTTTTTGGAAATTCTTAATAAATTGCTAATTTTATTCCTGTACAATTTAAATTTATCAAATAGTTGACTTTTTGTGTTGCAATTTTTAGATTTTATATACTTTTTGTAGAGCTTATTTTTAATTGTAATTGACTTCAGAACTCCATTAGTAATCCAAGGTTTAGATTTGAGTTTAACTTGGTTTTTGGTTAGTTTTTTGTACGGGGCATGACGATCAAGAATTGTGTTGAATGTTTTTAAAAAGAAGTTCATTGATTCATTGACATCATCACCATTTCTGATATAAAACTTCCAGTCAATATTAGAAATATCCTGAATAAATTCATTATCATTGAAATTCTTAAATGATCGTTTAGTTGTTATGGATTTTTTTCTTTTGAAAGGAGTACTAGGAATGCAAACAAACTGTGCCATGTGATCTGAAATTGATATTGTTACGTTACCAGAAATAAGATTAGGAATTTGAAAATTTAAGAAGATGTTATCAATAATTGTTTTAGAATTACAGGTTACTCGCGTTGGTTGAATTATTGTTGGGTAAAAAGAATTTTACCCAACAATAATTCAACCAACGCGAGTTACTAAACTACAATGAATCCCTTATTATATCTGATTACCTTGACTCACTTTGCTCTTAGCAAAGTGAGTCAAGGTAATCAGATATAATAAGGGATTCATTGTAGTTTAGTAAGTCCATGTTAAAGTCACCCATTAACATAACCTGTTTATTTTCATAACTAAGATTTTCAAGTAAAGGATTAAAATAATCAGAAATAAATTCCTTTGGGTTCATTGAAGGATGCCGGTATATGCAGCCGACAATGATATTTTTCTTAAAAGGATTAACAATTTCAATAAAGATAGATTCTAGAAATTTTGGGGCATATACTATAAGATCTCTTCTGACATTGTAGTTTAGATCGGATTTTAAGTATAGAAGAGCACCTCCTTTTTTAGCTTCAGTAGAGCATTGTTCGATGTTATAACCATTTATACTAATGTCAGTTATATTGGGATCGTTAATATACAATTTAGACTCCGAAATTCCAAATACTGTTGGAAAAATGGTAAGTGAACTTATGAGACTGCGAAGTTCATCAATATGAAAGTGCAAAGAACCAATGTTTAGATGAAGGTACAATTCAGAATTTGATTTTAAAGTTTTATTGAGATCAAGAATATCGTAGTATTTGCAGTTGAAATAAGTATTAGAGATTTTATTTATATCCTTAAAAAAGTTGTAAAATTGTAATGGACTTTCTAAAGAATTTAAGGTACTAGTTAGTCGAGTCTGACATGATACAGTTAAAGAAAATTCTAAGTCCGAAAGTGTGCTAAATGGCATATTCTTAATTATGCAATCACTACAATACCAGTCAGAAGTGTCTTTGACAAGAAGGTTATACGAAAATTTGTTGATTGAATTGCACTTAGCATGAACCCAAGAAGAACAACAATCACATAAAATGCCTCTTTGATGATTGGCCACTGCTTTATTGCAGAACTTACAATGGTACTTAATTGCCATGTAAAAATATAAGTTAAAAACAAAGCAATAACATATAAAGTATGGC